TAGCTAAAATTAATCCCCAAGTAGACGCTGCGAAACTAAGCAGCGCATCGCCTTTCACACCCTAGAGTAACAGAAGATCGCTGTGGGAAAAAATGGAGCAGATATGTTGGTTGGCAAGCTCCAAACCTTAAGCGAAGATCGTGGGTGCATGGTTGTCAAGCCACAAACTGCCCTAGTCGGTATAAGCCAATCGCCGGTGAAACGCCGCAATCTTCTTTAGCTCAAGGGTCGGTGTTGGTTAGCAAACTTCAATCCAAACAAGAATCGTGGGTGGCAAACGGCAAAAGCAGCAGATACGGCAAACTCTGCAAAACCTCGCTGAAAAGGAGATGTAGGCTTTCTTTGTCGCCGGAGAGGCAACCGCACTAGTGAAAGAAGGAATCACGTGACATGCATGTCATCTGCCTTGTCGGATGCGTCGCTCGAAAGAGGCGCGCAGCTCCACGCCGAGCTCTTTTGATGCCCGGACAATGACGTCTTGCATCTCCTTTCGCATATCTGTCACCTCGGTCGATCACGGTACAGTGCTACGTGGAATGGCGCTGTTGAGGTACTGTGCATGCAAAGTACTTGGCTCTGCAGCCCGAGCTGAAGCTCCTCGCTCTTCTTGTCTAAGACGGCGAGTCTTCGCTGAAGGTCATTGCTGACCTTGCCCAGGTTGTCAGACTCCTGCGTAACCCGATTCTGTAGACGTTCCAAACCTCGCCAGGTGTCTTCGGAAAGCACTTTGAGCTCAAGATGTCTCGCCCTCTCATCCTCCGAATCTCTAACGACTCCTTCGCAAAAGCTGAGCCGGCGTTCGAGGTCTGCATGTGCAGCCATCGCCCCTTTAGGCCGATGCCCTCTGCAGGCTGCGAAGACATCTTCAAACTTGCGCTGGACTTCAGATTTGTGTACGAGGAACTCGTGCCAATGTGACAGGACCCGTGCCTCGAGTAAGTCAAGGCGACGGCCCAAGTTTGCAGAGCAACCGCCGCAGTCTCGGTCTGACCGACTTCCCTTCGTCAAGGCTAACTTTGGAGGTGTTTGCTCGTAGTGGCCTCTCACAGCAACGATCTCCCCCATGTTCGGGCAGCCGGCATGCCACGGGGATGCTCCCTGCACTCGAGACCAGAAACCTTTTCAAACCCAACAACCCCCGAACAGTGGGAACAAACCTCAGCCGGTGGCCGACCTGGAGCCCGAGCTGTAACTTGCAATATGCACGATTTTCTGCTCAGCAGCACATCATGGCACGAGTGACCGAAGCCCGCTAATTTCACTACATGTATCATCATGTATCACATCTTGGTCCTTGCAGCACAGGAATACTGAGTGTGCACGGGTCAACGCTTCAACTGCGTGAACCCGGCAGAGCACTCCCTTCCAGGACTTCCCGCACTATCAAGAACACTCCCAAGCAATTCGAAGATGCTCAGCACTGTAAACTCTAAAGAGCGGCCTAGGGTGAATTACGTGTTGCTTCCTTAGGCACCTCAGGTTTCAACAGCACGCTCACGGCATCCAGTGCCTGCTGGCAGACGATGCATTTGCACGGCCTTTCGGCTGGATCCTGGTCAGCGAAAGCCGTGTAGGATGAGCTATGCCGATGAATTAGAATAACAAAGTGCCGAAGAAAGAAACTTCTATTTCCAGGCTGAAAAATTCGTGCCTCGGGCTCCTGCTCCTCAGGCGAAGGCGGGGCAGGGCGCCTACATCGGAGCCGCATAAAAGCTTCTGTGACGAGCCATGCAGCATCTATAAATCTGTGATGGGCGGACCCTTCGCAGCGTTCCAGCACCTCTCGTTCTGCTGGAGGCTTTGCACCTCCAGACACGCGAAGGCACGCAATAACCTAGCCCTCGCCTCCCCGCTCGGTCCTCGGCGACTTCCCTTCGGCATGCGGCATCGCCACGGATCACGGAGAACTTTCAAAGGTGCAGAAGCAAAGTCCGAGCTCAAAAGCTTCGGACCGGAGCACGGGAAGGTCTACTTTGGACAAGCAGCTTGCCAAACAAAGCAGCAGTCATTGCAAGAGAAAGCTCGTTTTCGGTTGAATGGCCTTCTGAAACATTCGTGTCTGGGGAAATACCTGGATCGGGCCAAAACCAATAAAACGAACTCAAGACACGGTGCAACATCAAGACAGCAGCCCGATCCAACAGAGAATTCGCAATGATGACAGAGGAGCTCTGGAGCCTGGCACTACTTCGAGGGTGTCAGGATGAATCCCTTCACAGCGACCGGCTCCTGAAGGCAGTTCAGCCACGTGTAACAACTCAGCTTCAATATCAACAAAGAGCCGCCGCCGTAGTCCTAAGAGCGATCCAGAGCTCTCTACTTCCCGAATTATTCTGACATAGCAACAACCACTTCGTTGGATGTTCCCAACTGTGGTTCGGGCACCCGCAGCATGTGCTCCTGCTGCGTGAGACGTTTCACAGCACGCATTAAGCATAAAGCTACATCAGCTCCGTTAAGCATTTGATAACTAAGTACAAAGCCAGCTTCTTCGCTCTGATTCGAAGAATTCAAGGGCCCTTGTCTTTGAGCCGGGGCTCTTGTCTTATACAGGTTAGTGCCTCCTCTTTAGGAAGGTGTGCACCAGTAGACCCCTTTGGGTCTGTTGAAGGATTGGAGGTGCGGAGATGATGGACTAAGGCAGCTGCAAAACAACAGCGATAGAACAGCTTTCAGAAAAACATGGGCACATCAGCTACGCCACCTCGGCTTGCCCGAAGCAGTTTTGTTGAAGGCTGGGGTTGGAGAAGGTGCACGTCGCATATGCGATGTGAGTGACCGGATTTTCGTCCGGTCACCCGGGGCTGGAGGGTAGCCATCTCGCGCAGGCGAAGGCGACGAAGGCCGCTGGGGCGAAGGCGGCCGGGAGTTGCGGCCCACTGGTGACGCAGTTCTTCCCGGATGGGCCGGGGAAGCAGTAGCAGGGCGGTTCCGCCTCAACGGAACGCCGCCATCTCCAAGCAGGTCGGCCTTCGCGGGAGCCAGCAATGCACATAGATGCATCTCATCTAAGGGATCAGATGGCCTTCGCTCGAACCGGGCCCCCTGTCCTGCCAAATGCCAGCACAACACGATGCTTTGAGTTGCATCAGCCGGAGGTCGGCGAGCCCCCAGGCAATGAAACAACTACATCAAAATGCAGCAGCATCCTGAAAGGCGTCATGCCACCCCTGTGCGCCCCCTTGGTCAAACGACTGATTCAAACCTGCTGGCCGGAATGCAAGTTCGACGATTTGGCAGCCGGCATTGGCAGCATTGCCAGACCTTATAGCATTCCAGAACGGCAACGGCGAAGATCAAGGAAGCTTTCGTTCTTCGCCGTCCACTGCAGAACAGCCGGGAATCTGGCGGACCAGGTCTCAAAGTCCCCATCTTAGGAGGCAGGCATCTCGTCTCCATGCAGCTCACGCATGTCGACGGTCCTTGCTTAGATGCCGACACAAAGCCCGAAGCTGCTTGTGGACATTGGCGGTGTGGATTTGCCTGGGTCCGATCAAAGACTCAACGGGCCTCGGCCCGGTCCGGAATGCTGTTAGCATGTTTACCTGTGTTTCATGCACCTCGCTTCACCAGGCATTGATTGCCAACACGAAGGCAGCAGGTGTGGCTGTACATGGGAATCGCGTCATGAATTTTTCACGACCTGCATGAGTTGCTGTTCAACTCATGCGTTCCCTCCACGCATAGATCTTAAGAGATGCTGCATGCCCCGTTGGCTAAATGCCGATCAACAGCCCACGATGGTTGTCCGAAAAGACCTGGCTTGGCTCAAAGACCTTGAAGCCCCGGCCAATTCCAATTCATCCTGCACGCTCACATTGCTCGCTCGCCATATCTTCAAAGCTTTCCCCACCACGGGCCTGATTGGTCGGTTGCTCCCGGAGCTCAATCTCGGTAACGCCACTCGCAGTGAACATCAAGAGAGTCTCCTCATTTCGCAGGTGCACGAACAAAACTGGACAGGAAGACTCCGTGCTTCTTGCCATGCACTTCTGCTCATGCTGAGCTGGGGCCGGCTGGGGTTTGGGCCCAGCGTGGCTCCCAGAATGCACAGTCCACCGAGCTCTCTCCAGGCCGCAGCGAACAATGCAACTCCAGGCTACGAGCCTTGGACGTCACAGTGCCTCAGCCTGAAAGGACCTGACAAGCTGCCGAGGACCAATGCGACGAGTGCAGGCGAGGCACATCCCATAGCTTGACATCACCTTTGTCCTGGCTCAGGGTCAAGAGGAACTTCCCGGTCGGCATATATCGCACGAGCATGAAGTTATTGTTCTGCTCCGGGTTGACATCCGCGCCGTCCTGTGTCAAAGAGCAACACACCGTTGAGAGTTCTCAATCTTGCGGGAGCGGAGCTTGAAGCTTCCACCACCACCCCACCACCACTGCCACCACCTCCCTGCACATCACAATAATTAGGTTTTTGTATGATTAATGTTTTTGTATGGCTGTGCTCGCGCTGTAGCATGTTTCTCACGGCTTATGGCTGTTCTCAGAGGTTCTTTAATTTCGGGCAGGACTCGTAGACTTCCCTCTGTTGAGCGTGTGAGTGTGAGTGAGTGAGTGAGTGAGTGAGTGAGTGAGTGAGTGAGTGAGTGAGTGAGTGAGTGAGTGAGTGAGTGAGTGAGCGAGCGAGGGAGGGAGGGAGGGAGGGAGGGAGTGAGTGAGTGAGTGAGTGTTTTTTGCATAATACTAATGTTTATGGTAAGCAGTATGATAAAACTTCTCATTATTCTTTAGCATCAGTAGTGTTATTTTTATGAATATCATGATACTAATCAACTTGACGAAAATGCCTCCCCGCCACTGCACCCCCCTCCCACCACCCCGTCCGCCCCAACCCCTTGCAGTTGGGAGACCGGTAAACTGCTGGGGGGATGAGGATGGTACGAAACGCCGCTTCTCCCGAAAATTTGGCGCGGTACGAAACTGCACTTTTCCCGGGATTTCCGGAGTCTTGTACGGCACGAAGCCCCGGAAATGATTTAAAGGCAAACACCGCGAGCTTGTCGACGATCCCAAACTCGCGGGATTTTCGTGGTTTCGTACTGGCGGCCGTCCTGCGCAATCCGAAAACGGAGGAAGCACGCAGCGTTTTGTCGAGTAAATAAATAAGTAGATAAACAAATACGTAAACATATATAATGTATACACATACGTATGTAGATATATATATATATATATTGCGTGAGGGTTTGG